GATTCAGCTTATGAAGCGAAAATGCCACTGTGCTCATTGTCCCTGGAACTGCCACATGGTCAACTCTTGAGGACTGACGGGATAAGGGTGTGGCCTGTGGAGCCAACAAAAACTAGACGACGGATGGCCCGAGAGCGTAGAGGAGCAGGGTCTTCTGTTGTTAGTATTGAGACAAGACAATATATTAAAGATGGATTATAGGCAGACGAGAAGAGTAGTATCAAGACAATATATTACAAGTACAAGACACTAGTTTGCATCGTATCCTTCGTATAGTTTTTCACACTCAGAACCTTTTACACACAGACGCTTTTACACACAGAAGCTTTTACACACAGAAGCTTTTACACACAGAGACTTTTACACACAGACGCTTTTACACACAGACGCTTTTACACACAGAAGCTTTTACACACAGTGAGGCTCCTCTACAGACACTTTTACACACAGACACTTTTACACACAGACACTTTACACAGAGGCTTTTACACACAGACGCTTTTGCGCACAGAAGCTTTTACACACAGAAGCTTTTACACACAAACACTTGCGCACAGAGACCGGGCCCGTGAAATCGCAATTTTACCCCAGTTTTTCGCGATCGAACATCGTTTCGTGCGAAAGGGTTGCGACGGGAACCCGGAGAACAACTTGCAAATTGCAATTTTAGCTCAGTTTTTGGCGATCGAACCTCATTTCGTGCAAAAGGTTCGCCATACAACTTGCAAATCGCAATTTTACGTCAGTTTTTGTCGATCGAACCTCATTTCGTGCGAAAGGGTTGCGCCCGGAAGCGAGAAATCGTAATTTTACCGCAGTTTTTGGCGATCGAACCTCATTTCGTGCGAAAGGGTTGCGCCCGGAAGCGAGAAATCGCAATTTTACCGCAGTTTTTGGCGATCGAACGTCATTTCGTGCGAAAGGGTTGCGTTTCGTGCCGTCTCGTTGGCACTGCCCCGCGCCTTCAAGAGAGAAATAGAAAAGAAGAAGAGAGCAAGAGGGCAAGAGAGAAAGAGGGCAAGAGAGCAAGAGGGCAAGATGCGAGGATGTGAAGATGAGAAGATGTGAAGATTTGAGGATGTGAGGAGAAGAAGATGTGAAGATGAGCAGATGTGAAGATGTGAGGATGTGAACATGTGAGGATGTGAGGATGAGAAGATGTGAAGATGAGAAGGTGTGAACATGTGAGGATGTGAAGATGAGAAGATGTGAAGATGAGAAGATGTTTCATGAGAAGATGTGAAGATGTGAAGATGAGAAAATATTTCACAGACCCCCACTATTAGAAGAACCCTGCGCTCAGACGCTCTCGGGAACAAGCTGCCACGGAGATGAAAACGCGTGATCTTCAGCTTCACACTGCTTAGCGGCTCAAGTTCAGACAAGAGCCAGCGTGGCTCCAGAGCATTGTTTCAAGCCTGGTGAGCGCAATGACAAAGGCATGGATTCATCGATCATGCACTTAGCTTGGAAATTCGTGCTGATAAGCAACTGGAGGCAGTTTACTACAAGCTTTGGGCTTCGACAGCAAATTGGACACAGCGAAGCAACTACGGTTGGTACCAGGCGAGATAAATAGAAGCGGGGCAACGCCGTTTCTCTTTCGGCGCTGGGCGAAACAGCAATTCTCATTCATAGTACCACAGCTCTGGAATACATTGAGGTTAGGACCGGTATGATGCGGATTTGCCGTTGCACATGGCGTTAGCGTAAACGAGGGCGCTAGGGATCGTGTCAATTGCATGCAGTTTCTGGCTATAGTATGCCTCTCTTGTGAACGTGTAATCTAGAATCTGGAATAGCATTCTAGTTTTTCATATTTTTCCCTACCTGCCTTGTTTTTGACAACATCATGCAGGTGTGGTCCCGCTTTGCCCCATGGACTTTCTATGTCTCAACCTCAGGCATTTGCCGTTGGGTTGCAATTTCCTTCACTCGCTCTTGTTTCTGCAAAGGTTTTTCTTCCGAAGCCATTGCATGTTGTGGCTGATGTTATGGCAGAGTCGCGTGTCTCTTTGAATTTTGGTTCCAGCGAAGAGTTGCCAACCTGCGTGTAGTTGGTGTAAAGATTTCAACTTGCGCCATGGCTGGTTTTCTGTTTGGGCACATGTGTCTGATGGCATTTGTTGCTGCTCAGCCCCCATTCCTTGTCAGCGAGGCATGGAGTGACAGCACTGGTGCCAGTTTCAGCGAAGGGAATGTTATCACTTGCACTTGGGGAGTGCTCTGCCGACATGGATTCAGCCGCAGCGGTCCAGATGAGATTTGCGAAAGCAGCTTTGAATGCACCCCTGCAGAAGTAGCTGTGGCGAGACCTCCCCTTGAACCTCTCCCTCCAGTCATTCCCAAGCCTCCCATGGGCGCTCCAGTGGGACCTCCACTTGAACCTGCTCAAGTCCCTCCAGTACTAACGAAGCCTGGTCCACTTTCTCCGACCATGGGCAACACAAGCAACGCGTCAGGCCATCCAGGCCATCAAAGCCATTCCGTTGCAGATGCAAAGCCGGCAAAAAGTCCTGAAGCTTCGAACGCTAGTGATGCTTCTGCACCTCATGAGGTTCCTCCGGCAAAGCCAGAGGCAAATGGCACCATGCTTCACATGCCTAGCAACACCTCTGGATTGAACAACGCCTCAGGATTGGTCAAAAGTTCAGGAGCAAGCAATGTTGCAACCCGCCCTAGCTTGAGGGGAAGTGCTGGGAAAGGTGGAGTAGCAGAGAAACCGGAGGAGAAACTGCAGGGACCTCGGCGCTTGAATTCTAGGTCCCATGGAGACAAGATCACCTGCGAATGTGGTGTTGTTTGTCAGTGGGGTTTCCACATGGAAGGGGAAGAGAAGATTTGCAATGGACCACTCTACTGTGAAGAGTGCATGCCAGAGGAGGAATGGGGTGGATCAGTTGGTGGTGTGTGAGGGGCGGCGGTGCTCCGGAGCCACCCTCTCCAATTTGTATAGTTTTGGATGTGGTTTCATTTCCCAATTTTTCTTACACTCATTTTGTGTACAGGCCCAGGGAATCCTCACGTTCCACACAAGCTTCCATTGAGGTGGGAGCGTTGCAAAGCAAGCTCGCAGCTTGTGAACTTGCACAAAGCAAGCACGTGGCTTGCGACTTGCACAAAAAGAAAGGTCCTTTCTTTTTTCTGCATATGTTTATGCTGGAATCATCTGGAATCTGTTTCTTCACCCAAGCAGCACAACAGAAGCACATCAGAAGCCCATCGAAAACGTTCGACCTTGGTAGAGCCAATGAGTCATTGAGGTGGCCGCGCCAACTGCTGCCTGGTACAGCTTCGGCCTGCAGCTCATGGAGTGTGCAATGTGTGACTTCGTTTTTGAATTCGACATGTTACAAGGCTGGTGGAGTGATGAGTGGAAGAAGATCTTGACGCTCGGAATTTACGAGTCCCGAACCCAGGAGCCACGGCTCTTTTTGTCACCGTCAGGGTGGTTCACAGATGTGTTCACAGTTCACAGGATGTTTTCTCACCGATATGATGTTCATTATTCTTTTTTCACTGGCCCCTCAGGCCTCCCTCCATCCACTGGGACTACTGCATGACAGCGCTAGTCCCAGCAATCTACTGCATGGCTCAGAGGGTGTTCATCGTACCATCCAGAGTCCAAGTCGTTTCAAACTAGACTTCGCAGTTCCCCTTTGTTCCCCTTCTAGACAAAGCCTGCTGCAGGGTCTGCGATCCGACTTTGTCAAGTACCATGCGCAGTGGTTGGCCTCAGCAGTGATCACTGTCAGAGTACAGAGAAGAGGGATGAAGAGGGGAAGTGCTTGGCCACTGAATCTGCACAATGAAAAAGGTTTGCAAGCATACTCTTGGCAGATATTTTGTTGGAGTAGGAGTAGAATGACTACATGGCTGTTCGATGATCCTTACTAAGGTATCCGGGAATTCCATACAAGTGAGTGCAGTGGCGGTGTACGCTACTCTGAGCACAGGTGGCTTCATTGTGAAATCTTGGTTGACGTTGAGCTGTGACAAGCCAGACAGAAACAAATGGTGGCCGATTTGGATGTGGAGCACTGCTTTCGTATTCATCACCATGCAAATCGGATGTCCAGGCGGGGTGGCACTGTCTGGATGAATACTAACAGACCACTGCAAAATGGCTCAGCTTGCACACATCACGTAACATCACCCACATTGGTACGGTCCACTTGTAACTTCTGAAGGAAAGACACATAAATTACTAGTGGTTGCTACTTTTTCTCCATTCTTCCAGTGCATGTCCTAGAAGTATCCTGACGCATTGTTTCCGTGTGTTTCCTACAGTTTGGCCTGTGCAATACATTCTCCACATAATCTCCATATTCCATTTTCATCCATGTGCCATATTTTCCCCAATGCCAAGAGCGGGTGGAAGATGCTGGATCAGTTGGTGATGATTTTGCAGCTGTGATTGCTCAGAAAAGCCCGCGTTTCCTTCGCAACATCGCTAGACCGTCCTTTCTGGCCTTCCCCGAGCTATGGGGGAAGCTGGCAGCAAGGTGGGAACTGGTGTGCAGTTAAGATTCAAAACTTGAGTCAAGTAGAAACCATTCAAAAATTACACCGGCATAGACCCCAGATAGGATCGGTTTCAGAGAAACCAAGGGTTGCTGTTCGCCAGAAGTACCGTGCTATCCCTGCCCGTTAAGCAGAATAAAATTTGCGTTTTCAACGCAAGATGTTTTTGAAGTGGATCCATGAAAAACATGAGAATGTTGTACTTCTCAAACCCATGTATTCCGGCCCATTAGGCAAAACAAAGCGCATCCTTTCACACAACATGTTTTCATGTCGGTCTAGTACGCAATGGTTCGGCACAAACACATTTTGATACCGGCTAATTAAGCAGAACAATGGCTGCTCTTTCCAGGAAGCCTTTTCCGTTTCCATTCATTCAACAAAAAAGTCGCACAAAGACTGAGCAAAGACCTAAAAGCTTCATGCAGAAACCTCTCTATGCATGAGAGATCCTATGGTTGAAAACGTGTCGCAAACCATGGAAAGCGATACAGTGAACTACTCAGAGTGATAACGTGATTTGACGGTGAAGTTGTTGTTGTTGTTGTTGTTGTTGTTGTTGTTGTTGTTGTTGTTGTTGTTGTTGTTGTTGTTGTTGTTGTTGTTCGCAGCAATTTGGGATTGTATAGTAACCTCGTATGCATTGTTTTAGTATTCGTCGAGGGGTGCTCCCAAAAGGCCTAGAATACGCACTTCTGACCACAGAACTTGCTGCCGAAACCTGTCAGGACACAGGCTCTGGAAAGCAGAGACTGTGCTTGAGAAACAATCCTTAACATATCATATTATGTCCTTTTTTTCCGAATGGAACTATCGATCGATAATCAAATCGATAACGTAGCGATAACTATAACCAAAAACTGCCAAAAGAGGCCCCGGGCAGCCAGAGACCCAATCCATCCCTGGAGTGGCGCGCTTCAATTTTGAGTCAAGTCTTGAAAAAAATACTTGGCGTGGTCTAAGATAGCTTTGATCAAATGATCCGCCTTTCACAAGATAGCTTTGCTACGATCCAAAGAGATGAACAGAATCTGCAGACGCAACAGTGCAAAAAACCCAGCTGTTCTGAGGGAAATTCTTTCCGCACTTGGAAGACAAACAGTGGATAGCAGACTGCTGACCATGAAGCGCCCCTATTCCTGATGTGGAGATGAATGGATGAGATCTCCAAAAATCAATAGCCGTTGTTTGACATGCTGTAAAATAATGTAAAGCGATACAGCAAACTACCTAAAGCGACAACTTTTGTTCATGACCGCCTTTGTGACCCTTAGTTTTGGTCCTTGCTTGTTCACGGTCGATTTAGTAAAAACAAGAACACGCCATTACACAAGTCAATGTTCAACCGCGCCGACAATTCCAACCTTTCCAGGCCCGCAATTCTCGGAAATGGGAACTCATGGTTCCGAGGTTGGGAAGCAGGCCTTCCGACCTTTTAAACCTGCAATTCCTCGACTCGGGACCCCTTGGTTCCAAGATTGGGAAACATGGGCTCCAACCTTAGGGAACCCGCCGTTCCTCTAAAAGGCGTGCTTCCAAGATTGGGAAACATGAGTTTAAATGGTTGGGAGCTGGTAGTTTCTCAAAATTGGAACCGTTCCAACATTGGGACGCATGGGTTCCAACCTTCGGGAACCCACAGAAGCGGGAACCGCAGTTCCAAAGTTGGGAAGTGTAGGTTTTCAACGCTTGGGAACACGCAATTTCTCGAAATGGGAATGCTTGGTTCCAAGGTTCAACAGCATGGGTTCCGAGCCTCGGGACCCCGCTGCTCCTCGGAATGGGAACCCAAGGTTGTGGGAGCATGAGTCATGAGTTCCCGCATTTCTTTGAAACACAAACGCAGTTTCGCTCCGGCCAACTACGCTAAACAAGCGACCATTTTTACGCCAAGTTTTCATGTCGGTCTAGTCAACAGATGTTTTTCAAATTTATTGTCATTCCGGCCCATGAAGCAAAACAAAGCGAACCCATTTGCTTTTCATCGACAGCTAACTGTGTTTCAGTTTTTGACGTGTCTTATGACCTACCGGTATCAAGTTCTTTTGATACACACTCAAATGGGTGGCGCTACGAGTGGCCGCCGTCCACGTCAAGATAATAACCTTTTACACAACTTTTCTTCATGTCGCTCCAGGAAGCACCCGTATTGCAAACGCATGTTGATATCAGCTCAGTAAGCAAAACAAACGCGTCTGTCCACGAAACAAAACAGAAGAAAGTTGTACTAACAAGAGCGTTTTTGCCGGCTCATTAAACGAAACAAGGCACGGGCACAAGCTTTAGCTACATCTCAGCCTCGCGTACAATTCAGCCAGCATCCATCTTCTACTTGGACAACCTTTTGGCGACCGCTTCTGCACCATATACCAGCTCCCCGCTAGTTGTTCTGGCCAAATTTTTCTACATCGACATTTTCTCCTACCGCTTTTTACTGGATTTGTCGTATTCAACTCCTTTCTCAAGGCCGTGTGGATGCCTCGCACATTCTCTACATCTCATTCCCGAGTTTGCTGGAATCAGTACCAATTCAACCATCTCTTACTTGGTCTCATTGTGTCTCGTTTCGGTTGCATTATGCTCCTGCTTGCAATCCAGGCAACTTTCTACTTCATCCACCTTTTCTCCACGCACATTTTTTTTGATTTTTGACGTTCGACACCAAGAGGAAGACAAAGGGGGAAGTCTTCCACATCAACTCCTACTTTTCACTTTCTTGATTTGCTGGAATGTACACCCCTTGTCATTCTGCACTGAAGGGGCTGTGGCAATTTCCATGTCCTGTTCTCACGGGACTGAAAGCCCCCGTTTATAAAGTGAAATTTGTGACAAGGAAATTTTACCTGGAGGTAAACTACCGCCAGGAAGCTGTTGTCATTAGCTCCTACCAAACCATAGCACATCACAGGTGGCAAATCTTTCTCAAGCTGTCTCCACTTCAATTTTAGGGGCCAAGACGAAATAAGCGGCTCCGCCCCCTGCCGCCGACCCCTGGCCAGTGGGGCTGGAACCTTGGGGCCGCAGTGACTGGCTCAGCAACCACGAACAAGAAACAAGGTCCAAAATGCAGCTGCAAGGCCTGCAAAACGGACGTCCCGCCACACTAAAACAGCATGCTTTCTGAACGAACAAGAAACAAGGTCCAAAATGCAGCTGCAAGGCCTGCAAAACGGACGTCCCGCCACACTAAAACAGCATGCTTTCTGAACGAACAAGAAACAAGGTCCAAAATGCAGCTGCAAGGCCTGCAAAACGGACGTCCCGCCACACTAAAACAGCATGCTTTCTGAACGAACAAGAAACAAGGTCCAAAATGCAGCTGCAAGGCCTGCAAAACGGACGTCCCGCCACACTAAAACAGCATGCCAGCGAAGGACGGAAGGTGCTGGCCGCCGGCACGAGGCACTGCCTAACGTTGCTTTCTTAACGAACAAGAAACAAGGTCCAAAATGCAGCTGCGAGGCCTGCAAAACGGACGTCCCGCCACACTAAAACAGCATGCCAGCGAAGGACGGAAGGTGCTGGCCGCCGGCACGTGGCACTGCCTAACGTTGCTTTCTGAGCGAACAAGAAGCAAGGTCCGAAATGATAGTTGCTGCTTGCATTCTCTTCTCTGACGCGCTCCCCCTTGACGTCCGCTTGGGGTCGGCGTTTTCAGGCGCCAAGTTGAAATTTTTCCTTCTAATCACATCGATCATCAACCCCAATCCCGCAGGGACCGTTAGAGGCGTGCCGGGAGACCATGGTCACTCCTTCGTTTTTATTTTCTCCCTTTTCTAGCTTTACCCCTCAAAGCAAGAGACAAGTGGTCACGAACCCTGCTGCGTGTCACGGGACCGATCTCCTTAATTTTTTGTGTCTCCTTTGCGATTATTATTTCTCCGTTGTTTCATGGGTTTTGGGGCCCACCACAAAACCATCGGGTCCCGTGTTATAGGTGCTGGTTAGTAGCTTATATCCTGCAGCCACAGATTCCCCTGTTCTATTCATTTTTTTCATCTTGTTTCTCCATTTGGCTGACGGAAAGCTGGTGCAGGCGTGTAGTTCGACATGAACTGCATATCGCTGCGGAAGAAATGAAGCAAAACAATGTGAACCCTTTTGCACAACAACTTTGCATGTCAATCTCGTAAGCCGATTGCTTTACACAGCACCCTTGCCCAACTTCAAACTTCAGACAACGTGTTGGAAAGTTCCCTGCACAGCACCCTGCGCAGCGCCTTCAGCACAGCATCCCGCACAGCAACTTTGCCAAACTTCGCCACCGAACTATGGACAGCACGCTGCACAGCGCCCTTGCCAAACTTCGCCACCGCGCCCTGGACAGCACTTTGCGCAACATGCCGCGGCCCGCACAGCACCCTGCACAGCACCTTTGCTAGACTTCGCCATTGCACCCTGGACAGCACTTTGCGCAACATGCCGCGGCCCGTACAGCACCCTGCACAGCACCTTGGCTAGACTTCGCCATTGCACCCTGGACAGCACGCGCAGCACCTTGGACAGCACCTTGCTCAGCGCCTTGTTAGTTAGAGCAGGAGGCTGAATTTCTGTGGTTGGAAGCACCTTGCGCACCCTGCGCAGCACCGTTGCCGGCTTCGCCACCGCAGAGACAGCACTGTGCACACCCTGTGCAGCACCTGTGCCAGACTTCGCCACAGCACAGCACCTCTGCCGGACTTCGCCGCCGCACTTTGCACAGCACTGTGCGCACCCTGCGCAGCACCTTTGCGGAACTTTGCCACCGCACTCTGCACAGCACCTCTGCCGGACTTCGCCGCCGCACTTTGCAGATGCGCACCCTGCCAGACTTCGCCACAGCACTCTGGACAGCACCTTGCACAACACCCTGTGGAGCAGGAGGCCCAAAGGTTTGCCACGGAAGACCTGACCCATGAGAAGCAAGATTATTATAATATAGATCAAGGTTTGAAAAGCTAACTCATGTGGTTTGTTATCATAAACCAGCGTGACTTTATTTGAACACACCATGGACCTTTCAATGCACAAGAACCAGAGCGTCAATATTTGAATTACAGGGGCGAACTGCAAGAAACATCTGTTGAACATGGAAGGCAAACAGGGTATCGTACACTGCAGCAGCTTAAGTATGGGTGATTAACCTCCAAAGATAAATCGTATAAGACGAGGTGAGGAAACTCCCAGAAGAAACGTGCACAGTGCAACCTGATGATAGGATGTCATTTTTTTCTGGCGTGCGGCAGTAGCCTCACAGTGGCCTGCTGCTAGCTTGACAGGACCACATGAAACCAATTACAACGACAAAAACATTCCACACATGACATGACATCTCAAAGAACACGAAATAGCGCACCCACAGTCGGCGTAGGAGCCTCCTCAGAGTTAGATTAGACATGCAAGTAAACCATTTTTTTCCACCTCTTTGCCACATCCTGAGCATCACTTGTTATCGACTGCGCCGGGGTCATGCTCGAACTGTGCCTTCCATTCCCTGCACTGGCAACTGATGAATACAGACCCCAAGTTGAGCGGGGGCACACGAAAGATGCAAAGCATGTCGGGAAAACCAAGTAGATGGCCGTGTGCGGGCGCATGGGTGGCATCACACCAGAGACAAAAAGCAGCACAGCTTCGTATTGCATGTCATGCCCCTTTCCACCCAAACAAACCCCTTTGTCTTCCTACATCTAACCTACCGTTCGTCCGCCTCTGCTTGCTCTCAAATTTGCCACGGAAGATTTGACCTATGAGAAGCAAGAATCTTATAGCTTGCCAGCTACTGTGGGGAAAAATCAGCTTGCCTGCCTTTTGAATCCGAGTGACGAATCACATGGACATCTATATCACACTTGAATGGAATCTCCGCCTGTAGCCCATGCACTAACCACGTTAGTGCTTGAAGGGCATGTTTGAAACCTGATCGCCTTCGAAGCACGACAAAATCAGCGGATTTCACATGATGAAGCAGCGTATATCAGTAAATACACTAAACTATGTATTATCCCAGCGCCTTCATACTGCATGTTTCTTGATTGTCTGATGTTTTTCAAAAGTTTTTTCTGGAACTTAGGGTACAGCAAATATCTGTAGAGTTGAATGTTGATAAAATGTTGTTTCTCTTTCAAACGACACCGTACCAACTTTCAACAAGTTGTCTGAAAAGTGTTTGAGTCCAACCCTGGAAAAAAGTGGGTCAAAGAGGCTCCGGGATAATTCAAATCGTACAAAATAGATCAAAATAGGCTGCTTGTAGCGCCAACTTGAACAATTTACAGGGACAGAAATGACCTGACCAACATCGTTTGCGCCGGGATTTCCACTTACACTTTGCACCATTTGTGGTAACAAGTTTCTGCATGTTATGCCGCCTGCCTGCATTCCACAACTCAACAGACCAGCCATGATCAGCACATCTATCCGGAATCTACCCCGTTTTTCCTACCAACCCTGACCAAACCATTTGCAGCTGGTGTCCATGTCGCTGGAGGTCTTGGATTTGGACGTGGAGGAGATGATGACTTTTTGCAACTGACGGTTTTGATTTGACGGCCAAAGATTCGTAGAGACACAAGAAAACCAACTCATGTTGACCACTTTGAGGCTTTGTCCTTGGGGCAACGATCAGACAGTGCTGCAAATTCCGTTAGGAGAGCACTGCAGTCTCTGCTGGGGCGAAGGCCTTGGGGATTGGGACCTGCCCAATTGCAGATGGATCGTTATGGATCCATGGGTGCAGGAAGTTGTTCTGCTATGCCCGCAGCCACAAGTCCCTTTTCTGAATGACCACTGAGTGGCTACCTTGAACTTTAAACGATTTAATGATTAACCGGATGAACTCTGAGGTGCATTGCCTCTGACAGCAGAAGTTCAGCAAGCTTTGAAAGTTGTCCCACTCATGAAACCACTCAAAGGAATCACTTGATTGAAGGAAGCTTGCTATCAGCGGGAGAATAGTGGGTGTATCACAGGTCCACCATGAGTTGGGCACTCCCGACATCATGGGTTTGGCCTACTGACAGGTTTTTCACAGATGTGCTGTAGGATTGAAACCGGACAAGAGATTCTTACGAAAAAGGAATGAAAAGAGTCGCAAATCAAGCTACATTGGGATTGATCCTGTTGAGCCCGTAGGATGCTGCCCCTTCCTCCTCAGAGATCTCAGAGAAACCCGAGGACAAGCTGCACCGTGGCACATGGTAGGTTTCGTTGCAAAACTTTTCCACAGCTGTCTTTGAGCATCGTGTTCAGCACAGTCTCGCAGCCTCCGGGTTTGGCATGTCTTGCATTGTCTTGCAGTCTTGCATGTTTGCTCTTACGCAGACAACAGGATTCGTTCGAGGACTTGCATGGATGAACATAGGGACACATGAATCTAGAGGACAGGTGACATCACTTGGACTTGATATGACTTGATCCTGTTGAACCGGTAGGATGCGGCTGCTTCATACTCAGAGAAACACCAGGACAAGCTGCGCCGATTGACAGAGAACGGCATGTTTTTGGGTTGCACTGTGACCTTGCACATGGTAGGTTTCGTTGCAACACTTTTCCACAGCTGTCTTTGAGCTTCGTGTTCAGCATAGTCTCCCAGCCTCCGGGGTTGGCATGTCTTGCTTTGTCATGCAGTCTTGCATGTTTGCTTTCAAGCAGACAACAGGATTCGTTCGAGGACTTGCATGGATGAACGTAGGGACACATGAATCAAGAGGACAGGTGACATCACTTGGACTTGATATGATTTGATCCTGTTGAGCCCGTAGGATGCGGCTGCTTCATTCTCAGAGAAACCTGAGGACAAGCAACACAGATTAAAAGAGAATGGCATGATCTGGGTCACGCTGTGACCTTGCACATGGTAGGTTTCGTTGCAAAACTTTTCCACAGGTGTCTTTGAGCATTGTGTGCAGCATAGTCTCACAGCCTCCGGTTTGGCATGTCTTGCATTGTCTTGCAGTCTTGCATGTTTGCTCTTACGGAGACAACGGGATTCTTTTAAGGACTTGCATGGATGAACGTAGGGACACATGAATCAAGAGGACAGGTGACATCACTTGGACTTGATATTACTTCATCCTGTTGAGCCCGTAGGATGCGGCTGCTTCATCCTCAGAGAAACCCCAGGACAAGCTGCACCGATGAACAGAGAACGGCATGTTTTTGGTTACACGGGGACTTGGGGTCCCTCATAATTTGCACGTTTTTATATTTTGTACATGCATCTACTACAATCATGCTGTGTTGCATGAAGATGTGGTTCATGTGGTTCTTGTGACATGGAGATGTTCGACCAGGTCCTCTATGGTTCATCTTCATTGAAGTGACGTCGGTGTTGATATGCTGGGTGTTGGTTGGGGGGGGTTCGGGGTGGTGGTGTGATAACGTTCTTGATAGTACGCTCTTGATGGTTCATCTTCATTGAAGTGACATAGGTGTTGATACGCTGGGTGTTCGTTGGGGGGGTTTCGGGGGGGTGTGTGTGGGGGGTGTGAGAACGTTCTTGATAGTACGGTCTTGATGGTTCATCTTCATTGAAGTGACGTAGGTGTTGATATGCTGGGTGTTGGTTGGGGGGGTTCGGGGGTGTGGTGTGATAACGTTCTTGATAGTACGGTCTTGATGGTTCATCTTCATTGATGTGACATAGGTGTTGATACGCTGGATGTTCGTTGGGGGGGGTTCGGGGGGGGTTGTGTGGAGGGTGTGATAACGTTCTTGATAGTACGGTCTTGATGGTTCATCTTCATTGAAGTGACGTAGGTGTTGATATGCTGGGTGTTGGTTGGGGGGGTTCGGGGTGGTGGTGTGATAACGTTCTTGATAGTACGGTCTTGATGGTTCATCTTCATTGGAGTGACATATGTGTTGATACGCTGTGTATGGTTCATGTACATGAGTTGATATGTATCTTCTGGTTCATGTACATGAAGTGACATGCGTGTTGATATAGATGTGGACTTTTCGTGGTACAGTTGATATGTTTGCTTATGGTTCATGTTCAGGAAGTGACATATGTGCTGATACGCTGTGAATTTTTCGTGGTACATGAGTTGATATGTTTCCTCATGAGTTGAACAGGTCAAACGCTGTCGCTCTGAGTTCACTTGCAAAATGCGAGGAAAGAAGAAGCGAGAACAGAGTAGAGTTGCTGGAACGCAGCAAATTGACAAGCTGTGGACATGGTGCAAAGGCTTCATTTGTGGCCGCGTGAAGGCATGCATCGATGGCCTGCCCAACCCACAGTTGTTCAGCCAAGCATATCAGTATGTATGGAGAAAAAAACAATGTCGACAAGGACTTGTTCCAACTGTTGGCCACGGAACTGAAAAATTGACGATAAAAACAATTCTTCTCAAAAAAACAAATCTGAAAATGATGGGCGCAGAACCCCTGCAAATACCATTGAAAGTGTGTTTTGGACCCCGTCCTCATGGCATTTCGTGGCCATTTTCAAAGTAGCGATGTTCACAAAACACTGCGAGGGTTGAAAAACCATTGCACACTGCTGCTGGAAACATTGATTTTGTCAGGGGCCTCGAGCCCCGTGCTACCATGTTTTTTGGGCGCGCCCTGACCTGGCACATGGTAGGTTTCGTTGCAAAACTTTTCCACAGGTGTCTTTGGGCATTGTGTGCAGCATAGTCTCCCAGCCTTCGGGTTTGGCATGTCTTGCATTGTCTTGCAGTCTTGCATGTTTGCTCTTACGCAGACAACAGGATTCGTTCGAGGACTTGCATGGATGAACATAGGGACACATGAATCAAGAGGACAGGTGACATCACTTGGACTTGATATGATTTGATCCTGTTGAGCCCGTAGGATGCGGCTGCTTCATTCTCAGAGAAACCTGAGGACAAGCAACACAGATTAAAAGAGAATGGCATGATCTGGGTCACGCTGTGACCTTGCACATGGTAGGTTTCGTTGCAAAACTTTTCCACAGGTGTCTTTGAGCATTGTGTGCAGCATAGTCTCACAGCCTCCGGTTTGGCATGTCTTGCATTGTCTTGCAGTCTTGCATGTTTGCTCTTACGGAGACAACGGGATTCTTTTAAGGACTTGCATGGATGAACGTAGGGACACATGAATCAAGAGGACAGGTGACATCACTTGGACTTGATATTACTTCATCCTGTTGAGCCCGTAGGATGCGGCTGCTTCATCCTCAGAGAAACCCCAGGACAAGCTGCACCGATGAACAGAGAACGGCATGTTTTTGGTTACACGGGGACTTGGGGTCCCTCATAATTTGCACGTTTTTATATTTTGTACATGCATCTACTACAATCATGCTGTGTTGCATGAAGATGTGGTTCATGTGGTTCTTGTGACATGGAGATGTTCGACCAGGTCCTCTATGGTTCATCTTCATTGAAGTGACGTCGGTGTTGATATGCTGGGTGTTGGTTGGGGGGGGTTCGGGGTGGTGGTGTGATAACGTTCTTGATAGTACGCTCTTGATGGTTCATCTTCATTGAAGTGACATAGGTGTTGATACGCTGGGTGTTCGTTGGGGGGGTTTCGGGGGGGTGTGTGTGGGGGGTGTGAGAACGTTCTTGATAGTACGGTCTTGATGGTTCATCTTCATTGAAGTGACGTAGGTGTTGATATGCTGGGTGTTGGTTGGGGGGTTCGGGGGGGTGGTGTGATAATGTTCTTGATAGTACGCTCTTGATGGTTCATCTTCATTGAAGTGACATATGTGTTGATACGCTGTGAATTTTTCGTGGTACATGAGTTGATATGTTTCCTTGTGGTTCATGTACATGAAGTGTCATACGTGTTGATACGCTGTGTATGGTTCATGTACATGAGTTGATACGTTTCCTTGTGGTTCATGTACATGAAGTGACATATCTGTTGATATAGATCTGCACTTTTGGTGGTACATGAGTTGATATGTTTGCTTATGGTTCATGTACGTGAAGTGGCATACGTGTTGATACGCTGTGTTCTTTTCGTGGTACATGAGTTGATATGTTTCCTCATGAGTTGAACAGGTCAAACGCTGTCGCTCTGAGTTCACTTGCAAAATGCGAGGAAAGAAGAAGCGAGAACAGAGTAGAGTTGCTGGAACGCAGCAAATTGACAAGCTGTGGACATGGTGCAAAGGCTTCATTTGTGGCCGCGTGAAGGCATGCATCGATGGCCTGCCCAACCCACAGTTGTTCAGCCAAGCATATCAGTATGTATGGAGAAAAAAACAATGTCGACAAGGACTTGTTCCAACTGTTGGCCACGGAACTGAAAAATTGACGATAAAAACAATTCTTCTCAAAAAAACAAATCTGAAAATGATGGGCGCAGAACCCCTGCAAATACCATTGAAAGTGTGTTTTGGACCCCGTCCTCATGGCATTTCGTGGCCATTTTCAAAGTAGCGATGTTCACAAAACACTGCGAGGGTTGAAAAACCATTGCACACTGCTGCTGGAAACATTGATTTTGTCAGGGGCCTCGAGCCCCGTGCTACCATGTTTTTTGGGCGCGCCCTGACCTGGCACATGGTAGGTTTCGTTGCAAAACTTTTCCACAGGTGTCTTTGGGCATTGTGTGCAGCATAGTCTCCCAGCCTTCGGGTTTGGCATGTCTTGCATTGTCTTGCAGTCTTGCATGTTTGCTCTTACGCAGACAACAGGATTCGTTCGAGGACTTGCATGGATGAACATAGGGACACATGAATCAAGAGGACAGGTGACATCACTTGGACTTGATATGATTTGATCCTGTTGAGCCCGTAGGATGCGGCTGCTTCATCGTCAGAGAAACCCCAGGACAAACTGCGCCGATTGACAGAGAACGGCATGTTCTGGGGTCGCACTGTGACCTTGCACATGGTAGGTTTCATTGCAACACTTTTCCACAGGGTGTCTTGCATTGTCTTGCAGTCTTGCATGTTTGCTCTTACGCAGACAACAGGATTCGTTCGAGGACTTGCATGGATGAACATAGGGACACATGAATCAAGAGGACAGGTGACATCACTTGGACTTGATATGATTTGATCCTGTTGAGCCCGTAGGATGCGGCTGCTTCATCGTCAGAGAAACCGCAGGACAAACTGCACCGATTGACAGAGAACGGCATGTTCCGGGGTCGCACTGTGACCTTGCACATGGTAGGTTTCATTGCAACACTTTTCCACAGGTGTCTTTGAGCATTGTGTGTAGCATAGTCTCCCAGCCTGCGGGCTTGGCATGTCTTGCATTGTCCTGCAGTCTTGCATGTTTGCTCTTACGCAGACAACAGGATTCGTTCGAGGACTTGCATGGATGAACATAGGGACACATGAATCAAGAGGACAGGTGACATCACTTGGACTTGATATGATTTGATCCTGTTGAGCCCGTAGGATGCGGCTGCTTCATCGTCAGAGAAACCCCAGGACAAACTGCGCCGATTGACAGAGAACGGCATGTTCTGGGGTCGCACTGTGACCTTGCACATGGTAGGTTTCATTGCAACACTTTTCCACAGGTGTCTTTGAGCATTGTGTGCAGCATAGTCTCCCAGCCTGCGGGCTTGGCATGTCTTGCATTGTCCTGCAGTCTTGCATGTTTGCTCTTACGCAGACAACAGGATTCATTCGAGGACTTGCATGGATGAACATAGGGACACATGAATCAAGAGGACAGGTGACATCACTTGGACTTGATATGATTTGATCCTGTTGAGCCCGTAGGATGCGGCTGCTTCATCGTCAGAGAAACCCCAGGACAAGCTGCACCGATTGACAGAGAACGGCATGTTCTGGGGTGGTCGCACTGTGACCTTGCACATGGTAGGTTTCATTGCAACACTTTTCCACAGGTGTCTTTGAGCATTGTGTGCCGCGTAGTCTCCCAGCCTGCGGGCTTGGCATGTCTTGCATTGTCCTGCAGTCTTGCATGTTTGCTCTTACGCAGACAACAGGATTCATTCGAGGACTTGCATGGATGAACATAGGGACACATGAACCAAGAGGACAGGTGACATCACTTGGACTTGATATGATTTGATCCTGTTGAGCCCGTAGGATGCGGCTGCTTCATCGTCAGAGAAACCTCAGGACAAGCTGCACTGATTGAAAGAGAACGGTATGTTCTGGGGTCACACTGTGACCTTGCACAGGGTGGGTTCGTTGCAAAGTTTTTCCACGGGTGTCTTTGTGCATTGTGTGCAGCATAATCTTGCAGCCTCCGGGTTTGGCATGTCTTGCATTGTCTTGCAGTCTTGCATGTTTGCTCTTACGCAGACAACAGGATTCGTTCGAGGACTTGCATGGATGAACACAGGGACACATGAATCAAGAGGACAGGTGACATCACTTGGACTTGATATGATTTGATCCTGTTGAGCCCGTAGGATGTGGCTGCTTCATCGTCAGAGAAACCTCAGGACAAGCTGCACCGATTGAAAGAGAACGGTATGTTCTGGGGTCACACTGTGACCTTGCACAGGGTGGGTTCGTTGCAAAGTTTTTCCACGGGTGTCTTTGTGCATTGTGTGCAGCATAATCTTGCAGCCTCCGGGTTTGGCATGTCTTGCATTGTCTTGCAGTCTTGCATGTTTGCTCTTACGCAGACAACAGGATTCGTTCGAGGACTTGCATGGATGAACATAGGGACACATGAATCAAGAGGACAGGTGACATCACTTGGACTTGATATGATTTGATCCTGTTGAGCCCGTAGGATGCGGCTGCTTCATCGTCAGAGAAACCTCAGGACAAGCTGCACTGATTGAAAGAGAACGGTATGTTCTGGGGTCACACTGTGACCTTGCACAGGGTGGGTTCGTTGCAAAGTTTTTCCACGGGTGTCTTTGTGCATTGTGTGCAGCATAATCTTGCAGCCTCCGGGCTTGGCATGTCTTGCATTGTCCTGCAGTCTTGCATGTTTGCTCTTACGCAGACAACAGGATTCATTCGAGGACTTGCATGGATGAACATAGGGACACATGAACCAAGAGGACAGGTGACATCACTTGGACTTGATATGATTTGATCCTGTTGAGCCCGTAGGATGCGGCTGCTTCATCGTCAGAGAAACCTCAGGACAAGCTGCACTGATTGAAAGAGAACGGTATGTTCTGGGGTCACACTGTGACCTTGCACAGGGTGGGTTCGTTGCAAAGTTTTTCCACGGGTGTCTTTGTGCATTGCTCCGGGTTTGGCATGTCTTGCATTGTCTTGCAGTCTTGCACTTCTTTGCTCTCATGGATACAACAGGATTCTTTCGAGGAATTGCTCTCACGCAGACAACTGGATTCTTTCGAGGCGCGGACGAACGTAGGGACACATGAATCTAGAGGACAGGTGACATCAGGTGACATCAGTTGAACTTGATATGACTGGATCCTGTTGAGCCCGTAGGATGCTGCAGCTTTTTGTTCAATAGATGAGCAGCCAGAGGACAAGCTGCACCCATTGAGAGAGAATGGCATGCCTCTTTATCAATTTGTTTGCCAATGTTTTTTCCATGCTTTATCCATGGAAAATCCTGTGCTTTGTGAGTGCAAGTGTTGGGCATGGCATGTCAGTGGCGTGCGATCCTTTGCGTATGCTTTCACATTTCATTACAGAAAAGCCTGCCTTTTTTGTGCCGTTGTGGAATGTATATATTATAACATATTGAGAAGAGTTGAAAGCCGGCTGAACCCAGTTCCAATCCAAGCAAACTTCGCATTGTCGCCAAGACCCTTCCCCGGAGTTCCAGGATTGCTGCGACGTGGCCGCACTCACTGAGTGGGCTCAGCGGGAGAAGCTGGGCCCCAGGTTCAAGGCGGGGATTGAAGATCTCGTCAAGCAGGGGGGTCTCTGCACTACAACGGACCAGTTCTTGCTCGGGCTCGGCATCATGCTGCCAGCCATGAGAAAGAAGATCCTCGAGGCTTGCAAACGCAAGCTGATTGGAAACAAAAGAGTCCGTTTTGGAGAGGTGCGAAAGTTTGAGCCGATCCTCAATAAGAAGCCCAGCACGAAGTGCCCGTGGGTTGAAATTGACGAAATTGAAGTTCGTCATGACAAGGTGACCCTGCTGGCCGCAATCAGGACCTGGCGCTTTTGCACGACAGGTGTGGATGGCTTGGAGGAGATTTCTCTCCTGAGGGATGCCTTCGAAATCTGGCGGCCACAGAAGAAGGCCGGATGCCGGAACTGCATGGAAGCGCATCCTGGATTGATTTGGACTTCATCTTTAGAATCTAGAGTCCATTCGGAATTTATTTGCATTCATGTATCTGAAATGTTCTTCATCATTTGATGGACATATTTGGTGATATTTGATGCGGATTCCCTCGCGAACAAGGCCATAGATGCAGTTCACTATCGTTCAACTCATTGCAGTGCAATGGAAATGTTAATATAGCGCTGTATCGCTGTATCGCTGAAAAATTGTGGAGAGCAGACGGAATCAGTCACCCACTGACAGAGTCAGAGCGCAGTGAGTCAATCACCCCCCACGTCGGAGTCAGTCACCCTCCGCCCCCCCACTGGGGGCGAGGGGTGACTGCACTGCGGCATGTTTTTTTTTCAAACATGCAACATGCATGTCTCTTTCAGGCACTGGCTCTTCAGCTGATTGCTCACTGACCTTTCTTGCTTACAAGGGTTTCATCAGGGTTTGTGCGAAGGTTGGATTAGGGTTTATTTCGGCTTGGTGTAGGGTATATATATATAGTCAGGCTTGGGTTAGGTTTTATTTGAGGTTAGCTTCGGGCTTCGGGTTAATGGTTCATGTGGGGTTTCGTCAAGTTTTGTTAGGGTTTGCTTGGTGTTGGTTTAGGGTTTATTTAGGTCTGGTTTAAGGTGAAATTGAAATTGGGGTTTCGTCAGGGTTTGATTGAGGGTTGGTTTAGGGTTTGTTTTAGCGCTGGTTTGGGGTTTACTTAGGGTTGGCTTAGGGTTGATTCAAGGTCGGTTTAGAGTTTATTTAGGGTTAGTTTAGGGTTTGTTTAGGTTTCGTTTAGGGTATATTTGAGGGTTGGTTTAGGGTATATTTCGGGTTGGTTTAGGGTTTCTTTGGGGTTTAGGGTTATATAATAAGGGTTTCGTCAGGATTTGTTCAGAAAATGTCGTAGGGTTTGTTTAGGTTTGGTTTAGGGTTAATGTAGGGGGTTGTCAGGGTTTGCGTGAGGGTTGGTTTAGGCTTTACTTAGTGTTGCTTTGGGGTTTCTTTAGGGTTACGTTAAGGTTTCTTGAGGGACTTTGTTGTCGACGTTCCGTTTTTCCATGTTCCCATGGGTTCCTTAACAGATAGATAGATAGATAGATAGCTTTCAGGGGTGACTGACTCTTTGTTCGGTGACCGATTCTTTGTTGTCGACTTTCTGTTTCCGCCGGGTTTCTTCATCCTCCTCCCGGCTTCCGAGGGGTGACTGACTCTTGGTTGCTGACTCTCTGTCTCCCGTTCCTGGTTTTCCTGCATCCTGTGCTAATGTTCACCCGCGACTGACTTTGCCCTATGGGGTTACTGACTCGGACGTTTGGGGCGACTGACTCGGGTGACTGACCCTGTCTTTGCCCAAAAATTGTGCCATGACATCATGGCTTCGTAACATTTTCAAGTGGGCCCAGTTGAATCAATGAGATGACAATGACATCATCATTCAGAGGTGCTTATGCCGTTGAGTGCTCCAGGGATCATCCTGTACCCCTGTACCTGTCTACTTTTTGAATGATCTTGAGTGATCTTGTGCTGTCAGGGCCTTTGGAAGATGTTGCAGGACGGAAGTGGATCGGTTGGCGACTGCTGTTGTGGGTGGTCAGGCAGAGTTTTGGAATGCTTTCGGAATGTTTTTGGGGCTCTTGAGCCAAAGTGATCTGACAGCTGAAAGATCTGAGAGTGGCCGAGAGTGGCCGAGTGGCCTTGACATGCCTTGACCCTATTTCTCATACCGGGATTGAGTTGCGCTCCCAGGATTTAGTGGAAGGCATTGGAGCAGTGACCTCAGTTGGGATCGTTTCCGCGCCTGATTGGATTGGATTCTTCAATCAAGTTGGATTCTTTCAGGATTCTTTCGGGATTCTTTCAGGATTCTTTCAGGATTCTTCACTCAAGTTGGCGCTGTAGTTGGGAATGCACACCGCATTCCTCTATAGAATCGGGTGACTTGTCAACTTTCAATCCAGGTTTTCTTCACTTCCCTGCCGTGTTGCAGTAGGCTGGATCGGACTGCAGAAGATCAGAAGTAAAATGAAGTGATTGAAGATATTTTTAAATACTATAGATATGTGGAAGGATTTGTTTCGTGATTTTGAACGACTTCCTCTTTCAGTTACGCAGGGACAGGTAGTCCCCTGGATTCACTTTATGCTGCAGGTAGTGAAAAAAAATCAATGCTTCTGGGAGTGCTTCCAGGCACCGGCCTCAATGATGCAGAACAAAGAAGGAAGAAAAATAAAATGAGTCATAGACAGCGCCGGTAAGTCTTGAAAGAGTCTTACGTTCTCATGAAGTCGCGCCAGCTTTGGACGCTCCCTTCTGGACATCGGCGCAGTATTGCCTGAGATTCCCCATATTTGCCACGCCAAAAAAAAACGCAGACATTGACCATTCTGGCTGGCTCTTCATGAATTCTTAGTTGTACCTTGTACATGGTCAATGTCTGCGTTTTTTTTTGGCGTGGCAAATATGGGAATCTCAGGCAATACTGCGCCGATGTCCAGAAGGGAGCGTCCAAAGCTGGCGCGACTTCATGAGAACGTAAGACTCTTTCAAGACTGACCGGCGCTGTGCAGTGGTGGGGTGAGACATTGTGAGACATAGTGAGGCACAGTATTCTGGCAAGACCAGTGCCAACTGTAGTCACTGTAGTCAAGCTTGTCCGCCAAAACTGTGACGCACAATTGGGAAGCATCATGAGGCACCAGTGAAGAAATCCTGATGCTGCTTGTAGTCACTGCACCACCGGTCAACGCTGCGGAAAACTACTGCGGCGTATCGATTGCATGGCTTGTCACGGCTTTTGCGACAGCTCACTTTGATTTGAGGCCGCAAACTTTGGAGCCATTTTCCAACATTTCAGAGTACAACTAACACGCCATAGATCAAAATTGGTTAAAATGGGTGTTTCTTGAATGCAAGGACCACCAAAAAACACTGGTATCCGACTCCGATCCATATTTAAGCCACAGCAGTTTTGGTCCCATACATATCATCAAAATACGTCATTGGTTGTATCATTGCATGGAGTTTTTTTTGAAGACCTGTGAGTTTAAGCTCTGCAAGCCACACAGAACGCAAGCTCATGCTGGTTCATGCTGTGCTCGTTGCGACTCCGACTGGATGTCCACGAGAAGCAATCTGTTTCTGACCTGTGAGCTCGAGCCTGAGCGAAAAAGAATGGCCAAAGGTAGTGAAGAGTCATGGATACCGAGAGCATTGGCTAAACGAACAACTTTGCAAATGGTTTCTAAACCATGCCATACCATGCCATACCATGCCATACCTGGCTCCACCTTTTGCTTGTCAACTTCTGGGTGAGGCTGCCACAACGAACCCATTGTCACAACTTTGCTGGTTACTGTACACATGGTTGATCATGGTTACACAGATTGTTATCCAAAGATTCTTGGTTTCTTGGTTGCATCATCTCGAACCAATGGCAAAATCATTGTTGGATATTGTTGGTTTCAGCATATGTTGAAATCTGGTCAGAGCAAACCGGTGTTTCCAAATTCCTGACTTCGAGAATGAGCCAGATTGCAGAGCCTGCAGGAAATTTGGAAGTCCACATTGAATTGGCATGAACAGTTTGATTATATATTCAGAATCAAAGTACGGAGACAGACTTTGACATTAATAGACATTCACCACCACCTTAAGGCGTCGTCCAGGGACAAATCATTTGGAATCACAAACCCCATTGATTTCATTGAACCCACAGGAAACAGATTGATGTCTAGCCTGACATTTATGGCCCATGAGTTAATGAATGCCCATGGTCTGCTTGCAGACATAGAGGAATTGAGACATACCAGCGACATGCTGCCTATTGCCATGACATCAATTTCCTTTGAGACATGAGTAAGTCTGAAAAGCGACCCATCCCATACCAGCCTATCCCACCCATACCCTGGGTTGTAAAAGGGCTGATCGCCATGAAAAAAAGTCTCGCGCAAATATTCAACCATTGGTTCCGAAGTTGTTCTATCTACACAAACAGGCTCAAGCGCAGGCATGAAAAGCCGGCGTACCAACACTGGAGTTGCCCTCAAAAGAAACCTAGCTGGGAACCTTTCTTAGTGGACTTAGCCTCAACCCTGCAAAAACTCCCAGAACATGAAGAGCTGCTTTCTGGATTTGGAGAAGACGCTCGACGAGCTAAACCACAAGAGAGTGATCCAAGCGTGAAACAAATGACAGCGGCAGCACGGATAACGGGGACAACACTTTCATGTTCGCAAACAACGCCTGCCAAATTTTTGTGCTGCTGGATCAGTGGCTCAAGTTCAGACAAGAGCCACCGTGGCTCCAGAGCATTTTTTCAAGCCTGGTTGACGCGATGACAAAGGCATGGATTCATCGAGAATGTACTTGGGTTGCAAATTATATAGTCAAAAGCACCTGGAGGCAGTTTACTACAAGCTTTGGGCGTCGACAGCAAATTGGACACAGCGAAGCAACTACGGTTGGTACCAGGCGAGATAGATCAACCGCATAAACGATGCTGGGAATCATGTCAAGTTGCATGCAGTTTCTGACTATGCCTTTACTGCGAACAGTGTCATCTAGAATCTAGAACGGCATTTTAGTTTTTCATTCTTTGTTCGACAGCATCATGCAGGTGTGGTCTCGCTTTGCCCCATGGACTTTCTATGTCTCGATCTCAGGGATTTGCCGTTCTAGCTTTTACCTTTTCTTTTTTCTGCAAATGCGTTTCTTCTGCAGCCCTTCCATGTTGTGGCTGATGTCATGGCAGAGTCGTGTCTCTTTGAATTTTGGCTTGAGCAAGGTATTTAGTTGGTGTGGTTAGTAGCCCATCCTTCAAAGATCTTCAACTTGCGCGATGGCTGGCTTTCCGTTTGTGCACATGTGTCTGATGGCATTTGTTGCTGCTCAGCCCCCATTCCTTGTGAGCGAGGCATGGAGTGACAGCACTGGTGCCAGTTTCAGTGAAGGGAATGTCATCACTTGCACTTGGGGAGTGCTTTGCCGACATGGATTCAGTCGCAGCGGTCCAGATGAGATTTGCGAAAGCAGCTTTGAATGCACCCCTGCAGAAGTAGCTGTGGCGAGACCTCCCCCCGAACCTCTCCCTCCAGTCATTCCCAAGCCTCCCATGGGAGCTCCAGTGGGACCTCCACTTGAACCTGCTCAAGTCCCTCCAGTAACGAAGCCTGGTCCACTTTCTCCGACCATGGGCAACACAAGCAACGCGTCAGGCCATCCAGGCCATCCAAGCCATTCCGTTGCTTCGAACGCTAGTGATGCTTCTGCACCTCATGAAGTTCCTCCAGCAAAGCCAGAGGCAAATGGCACCACCATGCTTCACATGCCTAGCAACACCTCTGGATTGAACAACGCCTCAGGATTGATCAAAAGTTCAGGAGCAAGCAATGTTGCAACCCGCCCTAGCTTGAGGGGAAGTGCTGGGAAAGGTGGAGTAGCAGAGAAACCGGAGGAGACACCGCAGGGACCTCGGCGCTTGAATTCTAGGTCCCATGGAGACAAGATCACCTGTGAATGTGGTGTTGTTTGTCAGTGGGGTTTCCACATGGAAGGGGAAGAGAAGATTTGCAATGGACCACTCTACTGTGAAGAGTGCATGCCAGAGGAGGAATGGGGCGGATCAGTTGGTGGCGTGTGAAAGAAACGATAGCGGCAGTGATTCCGGAGCCTAAAGCCCCGCTCCAATTTGTATAGACCTGTTGGTTTCACTTCCCAATTCGGTTCTTTCTTACACTCTTTTGTGTACAGGCCCAGGGAAGCCTCGCGTGCCACGCAAGCTTCCATTGAGGTAGGACCCCTCCCTGCAAAGCAAGCTCGCGGCTTGCGACTTGCACCAAAAAAGGTTGCTGCTGGCAAGCTTCTGCAGATGTTTATGCTGGAATCATGCGGAATCTGTTTCTTCACCCAAGTGGGGCATCAGAAGCACGAAGCCCATCGAAAACGTTTGACCTTGGTAGAGCCAATGGGTCATTGAGGTGGCCGCGCCAACTGCTGCCTGGTACAGCTTCGGCCTGCAGCTCATGGAGTGTGCAATGCGTGACTTCGTTTTTGAGTTCGACATGTTACAAGGCTGGTGGAGTGATGAGTGGAAGAAGATCTTGACGCTCGGCATTTACGAGTCCCGAACCCAGGAGCCACAGTTCTTTTTGTCACCATTAGCGTGGTTCAAAGATGTGTTCACAGGATGTGTTTACAGATTCTTTCTCATTGATATGATGTTCATTAATTAGTCTTTTTCTCTGGCCCCTCAGGCCTCCCTCCATCCACTGGGACTACTGCATGACAGCGCTAGTCCCAGCAATCTACTGCATGGCTCAGAGGGTGTTCATCGTACCATCTGGAGTCTAAATGGCAATTCCTTTCCAGACAAAGATGACAAAGCCTGCAGGGTCTGCGATCCGACTTTGTCAAGTACCATGCGCAGTGGCGGGCCCAGTCTATCGGTTTGCTGCCCGTGGGCATGAAGTGCACTGGCTATCTGCAACCATTCTGCTGATGAGCAGCCTAGAGTTCCTAGAGTTGACAGACTCGTCGATGTTGGTGGCACGGGGAGCATGATCAGGTATCCAGGAATCCCATACAAGTGAGATCTGTGAGAGCAAGGTGCTTTGCTGTAGTGAACTGTTCGTTTGCAAGAGCGCTGAAAAGAGGATCATTTGTGGTGATTCGGTGATTGCATGCGATTCATAGAATTGGGAGATGAGAGGTTGATTCAGAACACTCCATTTCTGCTTTTGCCTGGCAGAAGGGGTCTCCAATGCATGAGTTGGAGCAGCACAACCGTAAGGAAGTCAGTCAGAGGTCTTCAGTTGGCACTAAGCCTAGCTCGTGCATGACACTGAACACTTGCGTGAATGTTCTTCTTGGCTCAACTAATAGGGAGCATCTCAATTGCTCCTGGGGTGGAGGCTAGTGAGGCGCTTCTACTTGTGCTGGACTTTGAATTGCTGCCTTCATTCCGTCAAATGTTTGCCAGTTGTCGCCAGGCGTTAGTCGCTCCTGGCCAACCCCCAACTGGGGAGAGTTCTCCAGGCGGTACAAAACAGCCAAGTCTGACATGTTTTTTTGCATAGTGGAGTGGCTTTTTGGTTGGTTGTTGTCGCAATGGTAAGACATCAGGTTCCGTAACAATGTGGTATTTGCGGCTCCTACTGGTCACAACCTCAAGCTGATGGAATACTTGTCATATTTTGCATCGAACTCAAGGAGGAGGGGCCAAGAGTTGGAACACCTTGCAGGTGGCCGCTATTGTCTCCACAGAAGGCGCCCTTCTGAAAGGCACGGCAGGTTCTGAGTTCTGCGTGTTGTTTTCTCGCTTCTTACTGCATTGTACCGTGTCCATTCTAGTCCTTGGCCAGTTTTCGTTTCGGCTGGAGTGTGAGTGTCCACGGGCCCATCGTTCTATTCATTCTCAGTTATCTTGAGCGCACTGCAAGGAGGCAGCAGACTTCGTAGCAAAGTGCGGGCAAAAGTTGGACATCATCATGAGGCCCGTCAACATGCGCGCAGAGCCCTCTTTGTTGCTGGTGATCAAAGAGAGTGGCTACAACGTTGCCACACACCTGAGTTACAAGTTGTAACAAGCATGCAGACCTTCAGCGTGTTGTGCAATTTCATTCTACTCGTACGCGTATGTCACGTTGCCGTTGCCATGGAATTAGATGAATTAGGGTACAAAATCAAAATCATTTTCAGTGTTCTGCAATTTACGGCTATCAGTTTGTGTGATTCAAGTAAGTAACGTGAATAATCATGCAAGTAATGCAACAATGTATGCACCGTCAGGAATGTTGGCAATGTGAGTAATTTTTACACCTGTGACTACCTGTGTATGTATGGAAGGCAGATAGCTTTATCGGAGGGTGGCTAGGTAGGTAGCTGGGTGGGTAGATACGAAGCAGCTATGGCCGTGGCATATTGGGGTACATTTGCAGATGCATATACGCGCACATGTATAGGATACCCGGCGATTGCCTACACTTAAATACTGTCTACTGTGTATATATATATAGATATACCTCTAGGTGTGCACCATTTTTCATTCTTTTATGTGTTTGCTTGTACCATTGAGAGTCAGCAGTGTGTGAGGCGCTCTTGTTCAACAAGCACTTGAAGCGTCTTGGAAGGATTTGAATACACATGCTTGTAAGGCACATCGATGGCACGCAATACAGTCCTTCCTCCTCTTTTCGAGTGAGCTGGCCATTGCATGGGTATGGCCAGTGTTCTCATGTGCACTGCTTGTGGCTTCAATTTCCTGAGGTCGAAAAGTATCCAGAAGCAGATGGACGCCATGTCAACAGAGGCTTGTGCGCAAGTGCATCAAAGTGAGATACGTATGTGCCAAACGATTGCATTTCATATCATTTCATACTCTACCTTACCAAGGCAACCAAGGCAACCCCCCAAGAAAAGATCATATGGGCGGTGACTTCGAAGATTGGTCTTTTCCTTGTTCGGATCTTCAGAGACAAGCAGACGATGCAAAGTGTCCAGATCTGTCCAGATTGTGCACAAGACTGCGTACTGGGGATCGATTCGAGTGGGGACCCCACCGCAAGAGTTCAAGGCGCATGGGGCGCATGGGGCGCATGGTGCGCATGGGGCGCATGGGGCTGTGGGACCTGTGTGATGTAGTTTGACCATGTTTGACCATGTTTGACCGTGATAGGAAAGCACAATCAACTAGGGCAGATCAGTATCCAGAGCCATGCACCCCGACAGAATATTGTCGCAGTATCCACTTGTGACGGCAAGCAGGTGATCTTTGACACAGGCAGTGGGAACTTGATCCTTCCCACAACGGCTTGTAGATCTGAAGGGTGCCCAGCTAAGTGGATTCGTGCCGTGCGAAGCGCTACTGTTCTTCAAGAGCAGTAGGACAAGAATCACAACGAAATATGCAGCAGATCTCAATAAACAACGAAGCTTCTTATGAGATCTTATGAGCATGGAAAAGATTGGTGACATTTTGGGCATTTGGTCACAGTTGAGTGAGTGAAGTGCATTCTGAGGGATTGGATGTAATGTGGTAAACCATGGTAAACCCAATAAAAACCATCCTCAGTATGGCCACAATGGATGGTATAAACCAGAAAAAACCATCCAACCTTGAAGTTTTATGGCATTGGATTTGCCACATTGCAGCAATTCAGGTGTGCCAGGCACAAGAAGTACAATCCCAAGGATTCTTCGAGTGCGTCTGAGGCGCCAAATTGGTGGCTTGGTCGGTCCCATAAACTTCCCGTCGATGCCGTGGTATTTCCAGGTGACCAATGAGAACGGAGAGGGCTCAACGGAAATTACCTTTGGCACTGGCGCAATTACAGGTTGGGCAGCGAACTTGACTACACATGTGAAATATGTGTGCCCTCTTTGATAGGAAGACGATTTGATCATATTTGATATCTGGATAGATTTGGCAGGTCATGTAGGTGATTTCAAGACGCCGGTGAGGGTACTTTAGGATTTGCTTGAGATGTAGACATTGTAATGGCAACCCAGGATGCCATTATATTGCATTATGTTCGTCGTCTTGATGTCGTTTGTATGAAACAGTGAACAGCCGTTGCGTTGCTTGGAGGTGACTTTTATGAGGACAAGTTCTGCATCGCTGATTCACTCTGTTCAAAGGCCAGCAGTGCCACAGTGCCACAGTGCCACGCGGAGCCAATGCTGCGCAAGTGCGCCAGGTACGCTTCATCGGATCCGTGGAGCAGAGCGCAAGGGACCTTGGTTCCAGATGGTTCCAGAGGTTGTGAGTCGTGGATTCGTGGATCCCTAAGATCCCGGCCATTCTTAGGCATCGCCCTTCTCCTCCACTCCCTTTGATGGTATCCTGGGCCTTGGCTTCAAGGACCTGGGATTCCAATGGATTCCATTGATTCCATGCAAGTCCTCCAGATGGGATCGGTTTCATCACGAAAGTTAGCGTCAGCTAGCTGGAGTCTTCTTGCTTTAGCAAGTATTGGGGGGGCTGCTCAAGGACATCACGTGATTTTTCACGCGAAAGGGCCCCCCCCTCCCCCACCACCACTACCATCACCACCATCACCACCATCATCATCAGCATCATCATCATCATCGTCATCATCATCGTCATCATCATCGTCATCGTCATCGTCATCGTCCTCTCCATCGTCCTCGTCCTCGTCCTCGTCCTCGTCATCATCATCATCCTCGTCATCATCATCATCATCATCATCATCATCATCATCATCATCATCATCATCATCATCATCATTCATCATTCATCATTCATCATTCATCATTCATCATTCATCATTCATCATTCATCATTATTCATCATCATCATCATCATCATCATCATCATCGTTATTCAATTACATTTTATCATTATTGGCAATTATTGTCATTATCACGAAAGCTAGCGTCAGCTCGCTAGAGTCTTCTTGCTTTAGCACGTATTCCGGGGCTCCCCAAGGACATCACGTGATTTTTCCCGCGAAAGGGCCCCCCCCTGCCCCCTCCCCCATATATATCATTGTTATATATCATATATCAATATATCATTGTTGCATCCTCGTTGGGACGAACAATGCCGCGACACGATGATGACAGTCCTTCCGCAACTCACCTCTTCCCTTCCTTCTTTCTCCTACCCCGCTAGCTTTCGTCATCCACCCCCGGCCTCAAGTCCACTGAGTCACCGGGATGCGAATGCGGAAAGGACCTGTCCATGGGGCATGACTTCAACATCCTCGATGACATGTATCAGCCACTTGCCCAGACTGCTGAGATGTTTGCGGAACCACAAGAAACCAGTGATTCAGAGACAAAGATGCACACGGATGCGATACACTCAGCTGCCCAAACTCCAAATTGATATTGAGCACCCAGTAGCACGCTTTCTTTGAGAGAGGGACAGGTCTATGCACCTAATTGGTCATACTGATACATCGTACAGTACTTGGTCTAGAAAGTGAAAGGGGCGCGGCAAGCAGGAAGATTCTGAAATACTTGGCAGGACTGGAGCACTGCCAGCCGGGCTCTTCTCTGTGTTCCTGACTGAGGCGAGTGAAACAAACAAACAGCAGCTTGAACAAATGGATCACTCTATATATTTATATATATATATAAGTGATAATTCTTTGTGCATGCAAATGACAGAGATGGACGAATTCACATACCTTATATATACATATAACATATATATACAGTATATATATATATATGTTCTGCAATTGTGATACTGATGAAGAGAGATGTGAGGACGTAGCCGAGACGAGTTTTGCTGACCTCGAATTCTTTCAGGATGGCAGCAGCGAAATCACATTCGGAGGCTACAGGCCAGAAGTCGTTGACGACGGCTGCATCATTTATACCAGTTTTCGGATGTAAAAGCGATTGTGCAGCGGCAGGCCATAGTAACAACTGCAACAAAAGTAGGGTCTTATAACTGTAGATTGTAAAGTTGTCAGAAACCTTTGGCGAGTAAATTAAGTGACCACTTTTGTTTATGCGGGATACCTCACTTCACTGATGCAGCCAGAATTTCATGTATAGCGACTTGCCCGTGCTCGGTGCATCAGCATTTCCCTCCAATCATTATTTATTATTGGGAACCGACCATTTTGCAAGCAGGGGAAATCATTGGGTGTACATAATGGTGACTGCAAGCCATTGCCTTTTGTTGATAGGTGCTGTAGTTCTTGTCGTGGTAAAACAACCATGTCTGGAAATAAGAAGTAGACAGCCGTTTGAAGAGGTCTGAGCTGCTTGCTTCAGAAGTGGTTTGGGCGCCTGTGACACATGAATCCTATTGGCAGGCAGGTGTTAGCTGTGAAACTGAGTGTGGGCCATGTGACTGACAGTATCGTGCCAGGAGGGAATGGAAGACTTGCAGACAGGTACTAGGAATGTCAGTGACTATTCACTATCCATGAACCAGGTGTTCCAGGCCATGTCTCCCACCAATTCATACCTTGTACATTGACTTGCTGATCTCGTCTTGATTTGATGAGGATGGTAGATTGAGAAAGAAGTACGTTTGTTTCTTGCTCCCAGAAGGAATGTTTTCAGTGGCTGGATTTTCTACGCATGGTCTCTGGCTCTCAGTGCCCTCATGTGTTACTGGAAGAAACATAGCTGGCAGAATCGATGAGGATCGCTACATTTAGTTTGAGCATGACCCCTGTCGGCTGGGTATTCTCTCTGTGCCGTCGCTCATTTTTGCTCCTGCCGCGCATCATTTCCTTGGCTATGGTTCTTTAGCTTCTTACTAGCTTCTACGCTGTGTCGAGGTTCCTCCACTGGTACCTGCTATGCTACAGTTTGTTTTGTGAATTGCTAGTGTAGCCAGCCGCAAGTTTGCAAGTAACATGCGCAAAGAAGACAGCATGAGACCTCCCGCTTGGAAGAAACAAAGATGGCCTACCTGATACATTTGTTGTCCGAGACAATGAAAGGAATTGATTCCATACTTCGGCTTTCCAAGACGCATAGCAAAGCGACTACAGCTCATCCAGAAGTGAAGAAGACAGAATCAAGTACTCTACATCATGGTCTTTGCGATTGTTTACGTATGTTTAGCATGTATATAGGTTTTTAGGTTCATTAGCATGTATATAGGTTTTTAGGTTAATTTGGCAATAGTCTTTTGTCCTGTGAATGCTGCATTTCAGTTTTCTGAAAATCCCAAAGAATGATTCCAGCGCAGCGCCATTTGCACGTCAAGGCCTTGCAACAAGCAGGTGCAAAATCAATATCCATGTAAGCAACGTCAGGGGCGGTAAGGCTTTCATGTACCACAGTAGCTGGTACTGTATAGACAAAACCAGAGTTATACACAGAATGCTGCGATATCCTGCGAAGATAAGCAACCCATTAGCAACCCTGTAGCCTATAGAGCTTTTCTGGTTGCATGAAACTTGGGGAGGTGGCTGTCTCGGACATCACCTTCAACAACGTCGAGAGTGGCCTTTGCGGCGGTGGATGCCAGGAGGGTCTCACACACATAATTTGTGCATACTAAAAGAAATGCAACGTGAATTGGCTTGGACATTTCGGACATTTCGGACACTTCGGACATTTCTGGAACCCAGAATTCCTCCAGATGTAGAGGGAACTTGCAATGTTGAGATGTTGAGAGGTTGCAGTGGACACCGGTACCTCTATGCTTGCTGGGCCTTCTTCACTGGTCAGTAGCTTGCAGGCCTGCTTTGCGATGGAAGTTGAGTGATGCAATCAGAGTGTTTTCATATGGGCATGTCAGGCATGTCACAATCCAAAGTTTTTACCTAACAATGTTCCGTTTGATGCTTAAATCATCTTATACAAATCATGTGTTTTTACCTAACAATGTTCCATTATGTTCCATTTATATATATATATATCCATTTAATGGTTGGTGAAATCATGTTATAGGTAAATCCTGACCCCAACTCCCATGGCCATGGCTGCCATGGTCCAGGCCAAAGTCGCTCCAGAGGCAGACTGCTCCAACTATGAACGCTTGCCCAACATCGGCTTCAAGATTGGGAACAAGGCCCAAGATGAAATGTAGATTGTGTGCATGTCTCTACTTTGCATTTGAACAAGAAGCCAACAAACATTTTAGCTGGCGGAAAAACATGTTGAAAAGACATGTGCTTCTCGAGCATTCCGGTGAAATTGCCTGCTACTGCAGATCCTGAACCTCAAGCCTGAAGACTACATGGACTGGGAATATTTGGGAACGGCTCGAATGTTTTGCATTTGAGTCATGTGAGTGCTTGAACATGTTTGAACTGTCCTTCCTCAAGTGAAGCACATCGTTTTCAGGGAGGATTTGGCTTTCTTGTGGCACTGTTTCGTGTGCACAGGCACCCATACACTGCACCGTCGAGAATCAATCCAGACACACAGAGTTCGGTTTTTCACGACTTCCGGATCTGCCGTTTGCCTAGTACAGGGCCCCATCAGTTGAATGGAAGAGGCAGCAACACGATGTGTGTTTGACCATATTTGAAATATTTGCAGATTGCCTGTTGCAGCCTAGACTTAACGCCGGGCATTGTATCCAGTTGGAAATCGTTGAACAAAAAGGTTGCAGAGGATCCCTTGAACATCCAGGAATCCAACATCGATAAACATCGACCAGCCCGGCGCGGACCGCCCCGGACGGCGCATCGCGGCGATGGGTGCCGTTTCTTCGCAAAGCTGCTGCCAAGGCAATGCTCAAAAGGTGGTTTGTGCCTTGGATGCGCCGCTCACGGCTCTTGCCGAACCGGCACCTAAATGGATTTATATACACATACACATACATATAATTATAGTATTATATAACATACATATAATCATAATTTATATACTCATACACATAAAGTATATATGTTTTTGTATACATGATTATAAACACAGCTTTATTACAGTTGGCCACACTTGTAGAGCCTGGCTCTTTTCGAAAGTGGATACCGGAGACAGTTTTTTTTATGCCAATTAGTTGCAGACCTCAAGATCCCCCAAATCCAACCACTGAAGAGTTGGAAGATGTGGGCATTTGAAAGCCAGAGTCTGTTTGAGAATTTGAGAAGTGTGCTTTTTGGCGAATTTGAGCTTTTGGAAAGCCATGCTGAGGTGATTTCGATCAAAATGACCAAAAGCCCGTGTCTCTTTTGTATTTTGATGACTTAACCTCAACAGCTTCCAGCAGTGACGCCCGTGCCTCCGGCCGGCTTCGGGGAGTACCCGTCACACGTGTCCAGAGTACGAAGCCTTTGCTCAAAGCAAGCTGCTTTGACACCAGCGGAGTGGAAGAATTTCGGTCGATGCTGGCAAACCACGGTGTGAACACGAAAACGTGGGGGCGACGTGGATCCAAGTCCATCGAACATTTGTATTGGGAAGTATTCTGCCACCACGGATGTATCCTGACTGGGATAGGCTCTCCAAGCCTGAAAAGAGTGACAAGGATATTGAAGCTGCGAGTGGTGGCAGATGTTGAGAGCGAAGAGCATGTGTTGGTCTCGCGGCTTCAATTTTTGCACGATGGACAGCAGATCCAGCGCCATCAAGTGCCTGTGCGAAGGCTCCGTTGGAGCATGGGTGATGACAATTACTTGTTGCAAGACGTCGTGGATGTGAAGTCTGGCAGTCGCTTCTTGACAGAGGATTGTGCTCATGTAGAATCTTGGGAGACCTGCTCCATGTCCGCGCTGGAAGAAATTTTGGGAGTGTCTGCGACCCTACATCCATTTAAGCAGGATCCTGCTGCGTGCCTGGGCAGATCCTGACTTCTGTGACTTCGAAGCTTCTATTTCGGGGGGACTAAACCATAAATCTCTCAACCATGCTCAGCATGGTATGTACAACGGTGCAGTCACTAAAACATGCGCTGGGTGTGTATGTTCACATGGACTGTATCTGCAGTTTGTAATCTTACCAAGGGAGCCAAGGGAGCAAGCTGGCATGAGTTCATTTTCTTTTGTTTTGTTGCTAGGTACTCCTACATCATGGAAGATGATCAGTTGAGCGATGGATATCCTGGGCTCAACACGTTGTACTGCGTACATCAGGTCAGAGCTTTTTGCAGTCTAACTTGGAGTCACAGTGCTGTTTTCTTGTCCATTTACAAGCTGTCTTGAAACAGAGCAATCCATTGTTGGCAACCAGGCATTATCAGTGTTATCAGAAATCATCAGAAATTATATTAGACATTATTAGACTATAGTAATCTATTATTGGATATCATGTCAATGTTGACATGTCTCATCTGTCTTGAAAATGGTGACTTGCTCAGCCGGTCAGCGTCGCAGGTCACCTTCAAAATATTGGACCCAGGGCATCCAAAGGTTGCTTGCATCGGTCTACCACATGGGCAGGACATCATTCAGCACATTGTGCATGTGTTCGATTTTTTGCGGAGTTAGATCATGTTAGATCCACAAGAGTCGAAGTTGTTTTACAATTGGAAGGAGTTTGCGACTGCCGACGAGGTGTTCGACCTTGAAAGGCCTGACTTCTTTTGCAGAATAAGGGTGGCCTCGTTAATCTCTTTACCTTTTGACATCCAGTTTGAACGTGCACCTGCTTTGCTTTCTTGTTGCGTTGAAAAGGGATTTGGAACCGATCAACAAAGCGCACGCTCAAAGCTGCAGGTTTCACTCCATGCAGCAAATTCCAATTGGTTTGCGACTGAGAGTTGAATCCATGTGCACTTGCGCAAGCCATTCGACTTGGAAGTCTCACTTGTTCACTTGACTTGTGGGGTGCCATGGCGAAAGCTGGAAAAATTGCTTTGTCTCAGGCTCCCAGCTCAACGTTTGGTCTTGGAAAACCAATCAGGACTTGGTGCAGGCCTGGACAAAATTCAGGGTGCGAGTGAGCAGCACTAGCAGGGGTTCCTGTTTAAGTAAGCTCAAATGATGGATACATGTACTCTATAGATCTCTATATAGTATAAATGTATAAGATGTATGTATGAGTAAGTTTTCTTTAATGTATGGAGCAGTAACATGTTTTATTCTGGCATGTCATGTTTATGTTTTTTGGCAGCTTTGAGTCCCAGCCTCAAGATTTCGACATCTCAACCTGCTGTCGGAGGAAAGAAGCAGACGGAGGCCTTCAACCAAATTCTCGGTGACATTCATAGAGCAATGATTAGCCAGGTAAACCACAAGTAGAATTACCATCAATAGATGGATTGATGGACCAATCAATAGATAAATTGATGGTTTACTATGGACCATCAATGATCATTCCATTGGTCCATCAATCCATCAAGATCTTACTATTGTAAGACACATGGATTGATGGACCAATCAATAGTATAATAGATGAGGCATTTTCTGGATCGAGGATTGATCGACTGAGGAATCGGACTGACATCTCAATTGATGGACGACAAACGGACTGACTTATAACCAACGACCGGGGCAGTGGACTCGCTGACAAAGTGAGTGACCAACAGACTGGCTGACTGAAATTGAATATGAAATCTTAGCACGCAAAAGTCAGATTGCTGCAATTTCTTCTTTTCTTGTTGTCGTTGCTGTTGTTTTTGTGATTTTCCTCGTCGTTTCGTTGTTCTTCATGTTACTGTTTTTCTGCTGAACCTGCGGCTAGAAGCTGTCATGACTTGTTGGTTGGTCGTGTTTAATCTTTGTTCACTGTGGCCGCAATACGTAGCGGTTGTAGGCTTGGTTACAGTTACAATCAACCTTTAGGACAGAGGTCTGCGATCAGAATCGTTTGCCCTTAATGCTAGCATCCGCTGGTCCGCTGGCCAGTGCTCCGAGCAATGCACCTCCGGAACCGGATGGCTTGAAACCAAGGGGTTTACAGAAGCACAGACGACCAAAAAAGACTGAACAAATTGAACAAGACCCGGCTGTCTGGCTGTCTGGTGCTGGATTGAGGTACAGAGTCTAAGGCAATGAAAAGATTGGCTGTGACCTGAGATGGATGCAACAGATTGCAGCATTTGGGGAACAGAAGAGTTCTGGATGACAGCAAAAGTGGTGATGTCGAAGATTTGACGCGCGGTTTTGACAGCTCAATCTGCCAGGAGAATGAACTGATGCTCTTGAAGCGCGTGCAAATACCTATGGTGAAATCGCTCACATCGGTCGCAAAGGATAGCATGGCTATGGGCGTCTGCATCTTAGCTGGCAAGGACTTCGTGAAGTTCATTTTGAGTCTTCAAACATGTTCAAGTCGATTTCAAAACATCACAAGTTTACATTGATTTTGTTGATTTTGTTGATTTTGTAGTCTTTCAACTTTGTTCCTTCCTGCTTTCAGGCCAGAACTACCTTGGCTCCGACAGCGGTGCAGGGCAGGCGGCAGTGACCGGATGTGACTGGAAAGCTGGTTGGATTTGGTGCAAAAGGTGAGTATTTGCACCAGGAAAGGAGCGCCCAATCCGCATTTGCGGCGGATTTTGCAAGCCAAAAGCTTGGAGCTTAGAGACGAACCAGAGCAAAATATTCAACGGTAGCGCCCGGTAGTGGAAAGTAGTGTGATGTGTGATGCAGGTTCAATCATCAGGAATTTCTTGCCGTTTGAAATTGTGATAATACGCTCAGGCACCGACTGGAAAACAGTGAGGAGCTATACCAACACAGCATTCAGCATGCTGTGAATTTTGTGGCTGCTGTTGTTCCTGCAGTTCGGTGGCAGGAAGATGGCAAAGAGCTTGCTCGACGAAGACTACTCCTTGGACCAGTTCAACAGGGACTGCTCAGTGGATGCAACACGCGAATCAATCTTTGTGTCTGACAGTATTTTTCACCAATAAAAAAAACAATGTCCACTTACTTTTTGTATGGGGTAGACGGGGTAGATTGCGGCGTGACACGAAGTCTTCTGAAAACTCCATAATATGGGTAGCATTCCTCATTTTTTTGGTCGATGCAGCTCGGATTAGCACAGAAAGAAGCAGCCTTGAAAGTTTGGACTTATTCGAAGGAAGTTTAGAAGTCAAACTTCCGACAATATGGACAGATGAAAAGCAGAGCAGGGAAGAGGCAGAGAGAAGAGAAAGATTAGAAGAAAGAAGAGTAGAAGAGAAAGAGTCAGAAGAAAGAAGATGCAGATGCCCGAAAAGGTAGGAAAGTCGCGAAACACAGTGTTTTTCCAATGATTTGTGGCTCCGGAGGGTCTAAAAGTAGGCTCGCTAAAGCGGTGGGTGCGGAGCCAGCTGGCCAGATGAGAGATGAAAAATTGCGCGCCGTTGTGGCGCAAAGCACATTTCCAAGTCAAAATGTACAACACACCTCAGCGTCGGACCACTTTTGGAAGTTGCGATGTCGAAAAAGTGCACGCCGTTGTGGCGCGAAGCACATTTCCAAGTCAAAATGTACCAAACACTAGGGGTGCGGACCACTTTTGGCAGTTGAGATGTCGAAAAAGTGCACGCCGTTGTGGCGCGAAGCACATTTCCAAGTCAAAATGTTAAAAACACCAGGGGTTCGGACCACTTTTGGCGGTTCAGATGTCGAAAAAGTGCACGCCGTTGTGGCGCGAAGCACATGTCGAAGTCAAAATGTTAAAAACACCAGGGGTTCGGATCACTTTTGGAAGTTGAGATGTCGAAAAAGTGCACTCCGTTGAGGTGCGAAGCACATTTCAAAGTCAAAATGTTAAAAATACCAGGGGTTCGGACCACTGTTGGCGGTTCAGATGTCGAAAAAGTGCATGCCGTTGTGGCGCGAAGCACATTGCCAAGTCAAAATGCACAAAACACACCAGGTCCGGACCACTTTTGGCAGTTCAGATGTACACTACACTACACTACAGGACATTACACTACACTACATTCCAGTACACTACATTACACTACACTACACTCCAGTACACTCCACTACACTAAATTACACTACACCACACTACATTACACTACACTACGCTCCACTACACTACACTACACTATATCTTAGCTTGATCCCAAACCAATGGTTTCCTAATGCTCTTTAGAGAGATGACGTTGCCATGTACATGTAGATGTGGGTGACATACGTAAGACATGTCGTATATGGTTGCACATGCTAACGCAAGACAGCGCGCAAGCAAACATCAAAGCAAACATAAGCCGACGCATAGCCAAACACATAACAACACATAGGATGACATAAGAGGTTCACAAGTGCAAACGCATGTTAAACACAAACAAACGCAAACGCCGCTTGCCAACACCACAGCGGCCCTTCGTCGCATTACAGGTCCCTGACTAGGGCACAGGGCGGGAGGCACAAGGTCAGTCAGAGAGATATGATATGATATGATGATATGATTGATGTTACTATGATTGACGATAATGATAACGATGTGCTGCAGTAGCGTGACACAGTAATCATCATCACCATCATCATCATCACTATCATCGTCCTTGTCATGATCAGCAGGAACGGTCGTTTGATTTGGCCGGTTTGTTTTGAAGCTGGTTGCTGCAGAAAGTGAAAGCATGTCTGACAAACATAGAGTGTGAAAACGATATGTAGATATATGAACTTAAGACCATGGACCATGGACCATGCGCAGGTCAATCGACATTGAAGGTTTTGGCATGTGCAGTGACACCGGGAAATGATGTTTCACATATGTACTGTCAATGTTGGTATATGTGCGAGACATGTGTGTGCTATGTGGGTGACTTGTGTTAGATATGTGAAGAGACATGTGCACCTTATGTGTCAGGCATGTGTTCAACACATGTATTTCACATACAGTGCATTTTTATAACACATATGAACACAAAGCTTAACACTACAGGATACATCAGGAACATTTACAGATGCACATTGGTCACACATGTATTAACACAAGCTTAGGCAAAAGGCGGCGCATGTCTTGCGCATACCGTCACATATCAAATCGCATGTTGATTTGCGCACTGCATATGTTTT